CTACTTGTGGTTATTTTTGGTTTGATTGAGTCATTGCTTATCTCCTTGATTTGATTTGGCTATTTCATTGTCTATGCTTGTGTTTGATTTTGATTTTTGAATCTTAAGTTTTGTCAAGTCATGTTAGTCCTTTAAAATGTCAAAAAAAATTCAAGATGTGCTTGTGTTCATATGTTGAAAATTTTTTAGTTTTTTTTTTGAATTTGGTCGTGATTCAGTCTAATCATATGTGCTTTGCTTGATTGCTTTTCTATTTGCATTTTTGAATTCATATTCATCATTAGATCATTGATGAATTCCTAGAGTTAGGATTCTCTTATGTACATGAGTTTTCAAACATCACCTGGACTTGCACATGGGAGTGAAGATTTGAATTCAAATTTCAAATTTGAATTCAAATCTTGGCGCCACATGTGGTGGTTAATCTTGGCACCAAATGCTTCCCTTGCCGAGCCTATATATGCATGATCCTTCATAATTTGTATTGATTTTTGATGAATGAGAATTTCTGAATTTTACTTCAACCCAAATTCTCTCAAAGGTCACCGAAATCTCACCTTCACTAGTTCTACGAAAACCTCCATTCCTAAACTTGAAAGTGAGCTTTCTTTTGGTTCTTGAGCTTGGATGCTTCCATCCTTAGCTTAGGGATTCTTCTATCATTCCAATCATCTTCTTCCATCATTTGAACCATGGCAAGCTCAAGTGAAAGGTCTTCATATTCGGAGAAGGTCACAAGAAGCAAGAATCCTTCCATTGCTTCAACCTTACTCCATCATGGAGTTGGTGGTGGCATCGGCCTTGCCGCTTACTAGGGAGGTAGCGGGTGTTCGGGCAGCTTGTTCGGTCGGGGCATGGTATGCTGATTCTTCCAAGAGTGTGGGGGTAGACGGTACATAGGTTTTGTTCAAACTCTAGAGTTTGGCGTTCTGTCATCAGAGCTCGGCCAACTCCCTGGCGTCGGCTTCTCTTTGTCTGCGTATGGCAGCCATTTCCTCGCATAACAAGCGCAAGTCATCCTGACTGTCAGGTTGGGCTTCGGCGTTTGGTCGGCCGCCTTGCGTTGTAGGTTCCGGTTGCGTTTGGGGCATTCTATAAGGGTACCGTTCTTGCCCGGTATGACCGAGATTGTGTTCGGGGTTTGGGTCGATGTCGACGGTCCTTTGCGTGTGACTACCATGTCTTTGTCTCAATCAGTAAAGTCTAAAGGGGCTGAAAAAGTCTCTTCGGCCCCACGGTGGGCTCCAAATGTTCCTGTATCAAGATACGTACTTTACTTTTATCTCTGAGTTATCGTTATCTTGGTCTTTGGTCTTCGGTCTTGTCGCTTGGCTCTAAGTAATCCGAGTAGAGGAGGGTGCCTGCAAAAAATACTTCGACGCTCAAGTAAGCGATCGGTGTAATAAATGCGGTAGTTCAAGTAAGTTACGTACCTCGTTGGGAGCCTATTTATAGTGGTTGTTGTTGAGCCGCGATTAGGGACTAGGCCTCGGGAAATTAGGGGGCTAAAACGGTATATTAAGTAAATTAATCTTTCCTTAATTGCCTGGCTTAGCTCTATATCGTCGTGTGTTCAGACCCAACTGGGTTGACTGGCCGATTCGGCTGATCACACCCTAGCCAAGATGACCCGAGCGGTCGTGCTCGGCATGGTCAATCGGATCAGCAAAGTCGCGTGTTCGGTTTGGTCGGTTACCCTCCGGTATATAATCAAACTCTAGTCTATATTAATAAAGATTCGATCCCATGGAAAATGACCAAGTTAGTAAAAGAAAAGGAGAACTACTCCAGATAACGAACGTAAGGTCTTCCCATACCACCAAGTCATCGATTTAACGTTAAAAAGAAGAAAAAAAAATATATCCCCATGCCTCCAAGTCATCAATTTAACGTTAAAAAAAATCCCCATGCCATGTAAATATTAATTTAATAAATGTTTATGTCACAAATTTAATCATGAAATTTAGTATAGTAAACTAAAAGAAAAGTGTATTCTAATAAAATAAAATAAATTAAAAATGATGAAAATTGCAATTTTTCGCAAGTTTAAATAAACTATTTTCTAATTTTAAACGCCCTTACAATAAGAGCGAGCAATTACCAATTGTGCAGTAGGAAGTCACCTGAATAGGCCGAAAGCAAAATTGCAACCTGAGATTTTACAAAGGAATCACTTTGTCCAATATTATCATGCACTAGCAAGAAAACAGCGAGAAACAAAAGTTTTGCTCTTTTGTGATCGGATAGATGTGAGGTTGAGATGTTTATAAGTTTCAATTTATTTTTAACTGCAAATGTAATTCAATTTATTATTTCTATACTTTTTAATATACGATGTCAGCAGATAATTTTGAGAATCACTAAGTTTGACGTACGTTGAAATTGAAGTAGTATTCATATGATTTAGGTGCATATCTATTGTTATTATTATTATATAATTAATGGGTGACGACACTTCATATTTTTATTTATTTTTCTTAAAAAAATAAGAACATTAGAAGAAATTATGTATCAGAGAAGAGGAAGGTCTTATAGTAAGATAAGAAGAAAGGGAAAAAGGAATTGTTTGAATTGTGAAAAGTTTTCATTTACAATACAAATGTAATGTAAAATTACTTAAGAAGGTTAAAAGATTAAAATATGAAAACAAAAATTTAGATAAAAATTATTTTTTAATAAAAGTTTTGAATGACAAAATCATTCCATTAAAAATGAAGATCAAAAGTTATGAGAATAAAAGTTAAATTTTGAGGAATAAACTAATAAGAGATCCTAAGTTTTTTAATATCCTTTTTCGATAGTCAAATTAAGACTAATTATTTTCAAGGTATAAAAATTACTAAACTGAATTTTATTAGTGACAAACAAATAAACTACTAATTCAACTTCATGAATCGATCGATATAAATAATATGATATACTTGATATAGAAATATATATATTATTTGTATCACATATTAAACAAACAACTGCAGTGGTTTGGCCAGTTGCTTCAAGTTTGTGTGTCACAACCAACCACTAAACCATTATAAATGTCTTTTTAATATGCGATACAAATAATATACATACTAAGCATTGTTAAATATTATATATAAATCAGTTCATATTCAATTAGTGATAACACTTAACTATCTAACTATATTGTTATTTACACAAATTCTATAGTTTGGACTAATTATATTTTTTATGAGAAAAAGATGACCAGGTTCACCTATCCATTCAGCACGGATTCTGCTCGCCGCGATCCTTATTCTAAAACATTTTATAAGCACTTACTTTTACTAATAAATTAAAGAAAGAAACATCTTAGACATGCTTGTATTCTTTCTATACTACTGTGACAAGAGACATATGGAGAATCATATCCTGTGACCTATAATATAATTTGATTATAAACATGTTTAGAGTTTAGGGTTTTACGGTCTTACATAGTTAGTTGATATAAGAAAAAAAAATTTCTAAAACACACACATATCAATAAGAAACATTTTGTATGATAATCAAAGTAAAATTATGAAGTGAACAATATTTTATTATTATGAAAACATGTATTTGTGTGAAACCTCCAATGCACAACAAAGTCGGGCTATGTTTTGGAAAAGCATTTAGGGAAGCAAAGGATCGTTATTAGTTGTTGTATATGAATCTTCGAATGGCATTTCTGTGATTGGCATAAAGTAATTGAAGCAATGAAAAAAGAAGTTGATAATGGATGTGCATGAAGTAGGAATTGATTCTCCATAATGCATGTTTTTCACTCACAGACACTGTGCAATGCATAATCCTACCCAGTGAAGGTTTACATGCTGTGGAAGTAATAGTAAAAGATTATTTAATAGTTTCTTTTCAATATATTCTCTTCTATTTGGTTTGTTAAAATTTTTATTACTGAGTCTCATTATTTTGGGAATATATTTGACTAGTTAAATGAAAAATAAAATTCACATGTTTAGTAAAAACTTACATAAATTTCATCAAATTAATATAAAATATATATTGAAATAGAGAGTATAAAATATGTTACATGAACCCATATTACTTAGGTGGGTTCCGGGTGGATTCTGTTACAGTCTGCCACATAACAGCTTCCCCTCATAACACCTTTGGTCCGTGGATATGTTCTGCAATAATGCATTGGAATCATGTAAAGAAGGCAAAAAGAGGGGTTTAAATGAAAAAATAAATAAACAAAGGAAAACTTGCACACCGATTCTTCATAGAATGAGATAGATTATAAGTTCAAATATTATTATCCTAATTATAATTTTGATAAATAAAAAAAATTAAGACGTTTCTCTTTAGAAGTTCATTTTTCTTCTATTCTATAAGATGTTAATATATTTGATAAAAAAATCAAAATAATATTAAGATGTAAGAAAAATATATGCAACATAATGCAGTTTTTGATACACATGCTTGACGTTATATATTATTAGTGAATTTAATATTCATCTCTGTAAAGAAAAGGCAAATGAAATCGTTGGATAAAGCAAGATTAGATAAAGTGAAAATGATTTCAATCATATAGTAAAAAAAAAATTGTTAGATGATCTTTTAATTACCATATATTCATAATTTTATTGTGTTTAGTATATTTAGTATTGTTTAACCAATATTTTTTATTGAAATAAATTACTAACAATTTTAAATGAGCTACATCTTATTAATAGCTAATGTATTTATTATCAATAATGTTTTAGTTTTTAAGAATTTATTTGAATACAAATTAAAAATGTTTTTAAGAATTTTTTATTAAAAATAAAGAGTATTTTCTTATAGAAATATTCTCAAAAACTTGTATCTAAATAAGTTCTAACTCGAAATTATTTCTATCAAATGAATATAAGGACAACAATTCCAACACCTCAAAGTTTGAGTTGCTTCTATGAAAACAATACCAAGTTGGAGATAATTGTTTTAGAGAGCTATAAAAGCAACTGCTTAAGCTTTTAGATAGAAGGAAGGTTCTTTGATATCTAGATTACTAGACAACAGACAAATCATGTCCCCCACACAATATTTCTTATCATTGGCTACTATATATAAAGCCCTTCACCCGAAGCACTAGACCCACCATCTGAATCACAGGCTGTTCTTAAACTACTACTGATCTAAGAATAACATACAAATATTGGTTGCATCATACGTTTACATATAATCGTTTACTCATCCACAAGGTAAGCTTCTTGTTGTGCGTTTATAGTTCATGTCACAAACAATTTATCAACACTCTGATATATATCATATGCAATTTTCCTCTATTCATTAATATTTAAGAACCACATGATTTCAATCCAAGGTTTTAAATTGAAAATTGCATTACGTATATGTAGTGTACAATATCAGCTCAAGGCAGCGGTAATGCAACATAGTTTAAAGCCATAGTAAACTTAACAAGACTTACTATCTCGACATTGTGTTATGTCTAAGACTACAACTCCCTTAAACAATTACCTTTTTTAACAAGACAAGCCAATATTTCAAGAACTATGACTCGTTTACTTCCCTAGTTCTATGAATTACTTTACCAGTCCTTTAATAAAACTAAGTCACTGAATTCTCATTCTCTTTCATCTCATTTCTACTTCATTTTTTCTTTTTATCTCTTTCTCCATTTTTCATCACATTATCTATTACATTTATCACTTTTCTGCCATTATTTTTTCTCTCAAACTCTTTTATTTTCCACTCATACACCTCATTCATAGAGCATACTATTTTTCCTTTTTCACTGGTATGTATGTTGTAGGACACATTACACATGCGTTGTTTAGATACAAATTTAAAAGAGATTTCGATAATTTCACTATTAAAAATAAAGAGTTTTTTTTAATAAAAATTTTCAAAAAACACTTTTAACTTGCATCCAAAGAAACTCGTTATGTGATATATCTTTTATGACTTCAGAGGAATTTCTAAAACTAACTATACATGCACAGATTTAACAGGAAAAATGAGTTGGTCTGGAGGAGATTGGATGTGTGGTGCTTGCCAGCACATAAATTTCAAGAAGAGGGATGCATGCCAAAGTTGTGGATACCCCAAGTTTGGAGGCCCTGACCCTACAACCTACAGATACAACTGGTCTGAAGCCTTGGCAGGGGACTGGTATTGCACAGCTATGAACTGTGGAGCTCACAACTATGCCAGCAGATCAAGCTGCTATAGATGTGGTTCATTGAAAGATGGTTATTCTTGTAGATTTGGGGGAAACATGGATACCCCTGTAGGATATGCTTCTGATTGCAATTTTCCCCCAGGGTGGAAGACTGGTGACTGGATTTGCACTAGGTTAGTTCATATTATCATCATATACTTTCTGCTTTCAAATAGTTCCTTTCTGTTGGTGCAACTTTGCTAGCTCAATAGCCCTGCATTCGGTTGCCATATCCAACTATATATTTAAAAGCTTAACAATATAGTTTGAAAACAAGCAACTAAGTTTTCCCACAAAGCTGCATTTCATGCATTGAATTATAATTATGGTCATACCAATCCTGATTGTGCAACTATGAGTGAGAGTCTCAGCTGTGTATTTGAGTAGTATCATATAAGTGAAAAAGACGTATAATTAAAGTCTTAAAGTTTTAGATTCAGATGCGATAACGAGTTACTTGATTGGTTTGTTCATGATCCATTAATAGAGTTCTTCTTGATTTAACTCCTGTGGTGTGTCCCCAACACATACTTTGTTATCATATGATATGACACACATTAATCACTAGAACAAAAGGAAAAACACTTTTGTTGGCAATAGACGATTGAAAAGGGAGAGTAAGGACCATGAGTTCATGACAATAATTGAGAAAGAATAATACAAATGGGGGTCATAGGTCAACATAAAATAACTAAGTTTATATATTACACAATAAGAAATATGAAATAAAGTAGAAGATTTTTTTCACCTTTATTTTCTTTATTCCTATCTATCAGAATTGGGTGTGGAGTGCATAACTATGCCAGCAGGACAGAATGTTTCAAGTGCAAAACACCAAGAAATTATGGTGAGAAGAGAATAAGTTTAGCCTTCATTAATTTTTCTCTGCAATTATTCGAAAACTTTTGGTATGTTCGTAGTAATAGCATGTCAATTTTATCCTAAGTTCCGTGACATATTTGTTACTTCTATTTCAGGTGACGCAGACTAAGAGGATTCACATCTTTCTTCAGCAAACTTGTTAATGTTTTATCTAGTTAAGGCCTAGAGTAATCACGGGCAAAGGTCCTTTGTCATAGTCACGACCACGCTTTTTCCTTTCGAAGTTGTTTACTGATAGATGCTTTGAAAAGAAAGTTATGAAATCCATATTTATTATCAATTAGTAATATTTATTGGCTAAATGACATAATTAAGCTTTAAAACCAATAATAAAACTTGGATCTTGCACTATCCCTTTTTGCTTCAGAGAATGTGAGAGACAGAGGAAAGGTTTGAGGAAGAGACAGAATGTGTACTAGAAGGGAATAGTTAGTCTTGATAAACTTTTCGGCAAGTATTTATAGAAAGCTTTTTTTTCCTGAATGGTACCTTGGTTCCTTTATTTTTCTCTTCCAATTTTGATCTTCATATTTTAAAATAGAAAATTTAGTTTCTCTACTTTAAAAAAAAAATATATGAAAGTTTAATTTTATTATTAATATGATATTCGTTGATCATTTAATTTTGACATTGTTTAGTAATATATCATTACTTAATTGACATGATATTTATTATCACCATTTTAGTGACATGATATTTATTAAAAAATAAAATACAAAAGATTTTCGCTTATATGTAAAACAAGTGATTGATATTTATTTTATTAGTCAATCTTATTTGCATGATTTTTTTTTATCTCCAAATATCATATTACTAAATGTCACATAATTAAATATGAGTAAAAATTAAAACATAATAATTAATAGATGTTAATTTGAGATAATGACCAAAATTCCGTATTTTTAAAATTAAAGGACTAAACATCTCTATTTCAAAATAGATGACCAAAATTACGGATAGACAAAAATAGAGGACCAAAATTGCAATTTGACCATTTTTTATATCTCTCTAATTTTAAATCAATTTATCCACTTAATTTTAGAAGCACTCTTATCTAATTTATCTAATACTTGAATTGCATATGTACCTACACGAGGATGCATAGGTAATTTTATCACTTTAAGTCCATGTCGTATGTATCTTCATTTGTTGAGTTTTTCCTTTTAGATCCTCCTAGTCCTCGGGTTTAACATGTGCATACTTATCTGCTTGAATGAAATTGATAATCCTCGGTTGTACTTGTCCAAGAGGAAAAAAGAAGTGTACCTATAAAAGGCATTCTATGGAGAAAAGATAAATACTAAAAGGGGGTTAAATAGTTAATATAAAAAATTCACAATAGTAACGCTAGTCAGATGAAGTAAGAAGAGTAGTTAGATGCAACTTTGAATATTTTTATACTAATTCACCTTAATCACTGAGACTACATCTAGTTTTCAATCTAACCACATTAAGTTTCACTATCTTTAAAAAAATATGCAAGTATTCCTTTAACAAGCCACTTCTGACTCAACCCTAAGTATTCTTTGACATGTCTCTTCAAGCAACTACCTAATTATTCTTTTAACAACAAGCCTCTCTAGGCCTAACAACCAAGTATTCTTTTACAATCAAGTCTCTCTAGACTCAAGAACAAGTATTCTTTTCCAAACAAGTCTTTGTAGGCTCAACCAAGTATTCTTTTACAGACAAGTCTCTTTAGGCTAAAAAACAAATATTCTTTTTCAGACAAGTCTCTCTAGGTCAACTTTATAATAATGGTTATGGAGGTTACACAAATGTTGTGCTCATATCACTAAGACGTTATACAACTAATTATAAAGCACTGGATGTTTATAACAAACACTAGTGTAAAAAGAGCCTTTTACGTCACCTAAATTACGTCGAAATAGGTCAACACCGACGTTATAAAAACGCGGTGGCAGAATGGTAAATAAAGAGAACTAATTTACGTCGGCCTGGTGGTCCAACATAAATTAGCAATTCTACGTCGGAGCAGTATACAAGCCGACGTAGAATTGCTAATTTACGTCGGACCCCCACCAGGCCGACGTAAATTAGCCTCATATTCCCGCGCGACTTCTACACTCTAAAAGGATCGTTCACGCATATGGAGAATTCAAAATTTTAAACCCAAACTCATCTCCCGCTTCCTTCTCAAATCGTGGCTCTTCGTTGATCTACATCTTGCTCTCTTCTTCGTTTTCTTCACTTTTCTTCACAACAAGGTACCCATTTCCTATTTTCTTCGTTTTCTTCACTTGACACAATGTTTTCTCACTGAAAAAAATGGATTTTTTCATGTTTAAGGTTGCATTTGTCCTCGTGAGGGTCTTTAAGGTAACCCATCTTCTTCTACTTACTACTTTCTTTGTGCATTCTGAGTTTTTGAAGCTGGAGAAGGAAGTGGCCAAGTCCAGGTTGCAGAACGGGCCGTTCTGGTTAGAGAACGGGCCGTTCTCCTTGCAGAACGGGCCGTTCTACATTCAGAACGGGACGTTCTCCATTCAGAACGGGATGTTCTCCATTCAGAACGGGCCGTTCTGCTTGGAGAACGGGCCGTTCTCTAACCAGAACGGCCCGTTCTGCTTGCAGTCATTTTTCTTTTTTTTTTATTTAAATTTTTTACAACTTTTTACGTCGGACCTTCTAATGTCTGACGTAAATTTACGTCGGTTTTTGTGCCCCTGACATAAAATTTACGTCTCCCGCTTCTACGTCGCAACATTTTTCGACGTAAAACCCCCTAAAATGACCGACGTAAAATCTATATTTTGTACTAGTGAAAGAATAAATTTACAAAGTTCTTGTACAAATGTATATGTATCAATTATAATTGGTATCTCTATCTTTCTTGAGCTTTGAATCCTCTTATATAGTAACTTGTAGAAGATGGTCATTGCAACACTTTGAGTTCAACTCTTAAGTTTGCTTCGTTTGTTTTCATCATCTTTCATTATGGTGGCAGGTAACTATATTGAACATTTAATATGATCATTAAATATATATCACCAAATAGTATCTCTTATATGATCAAGGAGACTACTTATCAACTTTCCATACAAAACAAAGCTTGTAGAAGCAATTGTAGTGTAGAGCATTTATAATAGTGACTTATCTAAATTTCTCCGTGATTTTAGGGATTTAGTTTTGACGGAAAGCATGATTCTTCTCTTTAATAGATTTGTGATTTTTGATATGGTCTTTTGATTTAAACTGTTAAGGGATGAAACATTCAAAGCGGACTTTGTCATTAGTCTCAACAAATGATAAATATTTACTTAATAATTGTCTTATAGATAACCTATGTCTTACAAACGATCTACGTCTTACACTTCATCTAATAAGTCTTTCAAAGATATGTTTCAAAGATGTTTTAGCAGACATTTCTTCTATATAAAAATATTTTGTTTGTTAGCATTAAAAACTTGAGTTTAGGGGATTGTCTTTTAACTTAACTGATGAGGTCCTTCTTGAAGAAACCTCAAGGAAAACTTCAATTCTTCTCGGTTCGTTGGAAGAAGTGCAAGGATGTGAAGCTCCAAGAAGAACAAGCTTCTCTGGAAAAGAAATTTGAATTCAGCAAAACAAAGGATTAAAAAAAAATATATAACATAAAATAAAAGAAAAAGCCGAGAAGGAAAAACAATTGAAGAAAAATCAAATTTCATCAAATGCTTTGAACTACTAGTTTGGTTTCTCTTCTTTGATTTCTTCCAAATTTTGTTTAGTTTGGTTAATCTACTCTAGAACCTATCTAGGAAATTTCCTAATTGAGTGCTAGCTTATTTTGAGTCTTAATTTTTGCTTTATTTCCTTGGCTTTCTTTGAGTCTTGTCATAAACACTTATTCCTTCAATTTTGGTATAGGCTTTGATAAATTGTGCTTTTGTTGCTTGTCTAAGTTTTCTTTATTAAAAATTCTGTGCTGGAAGTGGCATCAAATCCTTGCTAAAGAACCAAACATTGACTCAACAAGGATAGTCATCAGCATGAGGCTGAAGATGTTAGTGATGAAGCTTAGGCTTCTATGTTGGGTTTTGCTCTGATAGGACATGTGATATCGGGACATAGATAAGATTAGTTTAAGATGTTCTTATTTAATTATTTTGGAAAATTCAGTTTTATTTCTTTGTAATTTTATCGGCATGTTATTTGGATTAAGTTTATGAATGTGAACTCTTTACCCTTACGTGATTGGAAATTTGATTTTTATTGATGAAAAATTTTATTTTTTTATAATTACTGTATATGTATGTTGGGGTAGAGGGTGTCACAGTGCCTTGGTTCCAACCTTTCTTCTACTTCTTGGAGAAGTAATCGAGCACATCAAGGAGCTTCTACAAGCTTTTGGAAGCTTGTTCAACCTTCATTCTTGGCGTGTTTGTGACCTCAAGAGGAAAAGAGGACCGCGAAGGTGGAGTGTGAGGAAGAACATCAACCATTTCTTCACCTACTTCCATCATAAATGAGCTAGAGAATATTTTGTTGACAACCCGATGGTGATAAATTTGAATAGACAGTTGTAGTTGCTTGATCAATAACTTAGGAAATATAGTTTACATTTATTAGATTATTCTATTTATATTGCACCTATTTATTTAGTTGATTTCCTTTATATGCACATAACATAATACATGTTCTAGTATTTGTATGTTTATAGTCTTAAGTGAGATGATTTCCGATGCAAGTAGTTGTGTCGTACAGTATAAGAATCAAGTCGGATCATTATAATATATATATAAAAAAAAAGATATCATTTTTCGATTTTCATAATTTTTATACATTTATACCCTCATATTATACATTATTTTTTCCCTACCATCATAGCTGTTAAGGATAAAATAGAAAAAGAAAAAAAAAAGACATAAAGTGTTTCAACCTACAAGTATTATACATAAAGAGAATATTTTTCTTGATAACCGTTTTAGTCTCCACCTTTTATCAAATCATTTTACTCTTAATAGCTATGAATAAAAAAGAGAAAAGAAAAAAAAAAGTAAGACTCTTTTAGTCATTCACATTACAACCTCTCACACTATCTAAATAATGATTGACACCCAGATCAATTATCTTCTTTTTATTTATTTTTAAGTTTAAAAAATAGAGAGACACAAGATGTTTTTTTCCCACTAATGTATAACCTATATCCATATCCATAATATATAATATATAATTTATATCTATAATAAACACCATCTTTTTTGTTTCTACTTTTCTTAAAACATGTTTCCCCTTCAATAAATGTAGCTTTTCTTTATTTGTCAACACAATTATTTGTCATTACTACACTATTTCCTTTAATAAGCACAATTTTACACTATACAACACAACTCTTAGAAATAAAAAAAAATATCTAACTTAAGACTGTAGGTTAACAAATACGAGAAACATGGACTATATTGCATGCATATA